CCAAAACTCCCCACCACAAAAACCCAACACACTTCTGTTGTTTTCATCCTAGTGTAATTTAAATTTCAGTCAGCTGAAGTTAATAGGGTGTAGAAATAATATGCTACATATGTTTTTTCTTCAGAAAATGGCTGATTTACAGTTTAAATTGTGCTACTTCTAACCATAAGCAAAATAGTTAATTGTACAGAAGGTTCTTGATTTTTTGGTGTGTGTGCTTACTGCATTTTTTTTTTTAAATATATAACGTCATTTATAAAAATGCTAAAAGCTTAAATATACGACATCAGTCAGGTGGGAAGAAAATCCTCCTGGGATGAAAGCACTGACTTCATATTTATCAGGTTGGAAATTGCCATTATCTCAGAATTTTCTGTGGAGTTACAACCGTAGATGTGGTTACTGTACTGTCTCCTTTTTCAATCTAGGTATAATAATGGTTGGAGTTATTGTTGGATCAAAGAAGACTGGTATTAACCCTGACAATGTTGCCACTCCTATAGCAGCAAGTTTTGGAGATCTTATCACTCTTGCTATACTGGCATGGATAAGTCAGGGTCTTTATGCTTGCCTTGGTAAGTATATTTCTAAGTGTGAGTGTATCCCTAGGAACCTCTTCTGGGTTAGGAGGGTGGGGAGAAGACAGGGCAGAAAAGTTTTAGAAAACCTTTTAGTTTGACTGAGTCTTTTGTCAACACTCATACAGTTGAATGATAAATCTTGGGTTGCAACATTATGCCATGATTTTTTTAATTTCTTTTTCTTTTTTAAAGATGATAGAAGTCATTAACCACAATCTTGGCACAAGCTACTGATATATGAAAGACTCAGAGTATCACAGTCAATCTACATGTGAATTAGAAACTGTAGTTGCTGAATTTACTCTTCTTTCTTGGAGGAGGAGGGAAGCTATTTTCATCCAGCTTACCCCTCAATCAAATATTTGTTTTCCAGAGCCCTTTTGAATTGTTCTCTCCTTGCACTAAGTGTTGAACTGACTATCTTGATCAGCTGCTGGGAGAGGAGTTCTGCTTTGAGAATTTTTTTTGTTAGGATGTTGTTTAGGCACCATTCAAATATATCTTGGGCTGCAGCTGTGCCCAGAAATCAAAATAAAAATAATTTAAGTAATTTTAGTAACAATAGCAAGTCTACCACAAGTATGTATTCAAATATGTGAAGCCTAATTTTAGACAGATTTGTGCTTTGTGATTGCTGTGACTTTTAAATGAGTTACACAAACACTGTTGTGAGTTTCCTTCTGATTCCTTCCAAATGCTTTCCAGCTCCCATTGCAATACCTTCTTGTTTCCTCATCTCCCCCGCTCCAGCTTCCAACACCAGTTTCCTCAGCTCTTTCCTGTCTTGTTTCCCTCACAGTGTGACACTTCCATGTCTCCTTCCTGTTCCTGTGCCTGTGCTTGATTTTACCACTGCAGCTGAAAAGCAGATCCCACACATGTAGGGGGAAGGAGTAGTGTGCTCAAGTATGCTTCTAAGGGTTACTCACAATTTTCTTTCAATATGGTCTTCTGGAAATAATTCTCTTTCAGTGATATATGTAATTACCTGGTCACTGCTAAAATAGCTCTTTCTGTTCTTTAATTTTTTTTTTCGTTTGTATTTCTTTCTCTTAGGAAGCAGAGAATCTTTCTAAAGTAAGAACATGCCACAAAACCTTTGGAAACCTCTGGTTTCCAAGATGCATGCATTAGAACCATGAAATAGTAACAAGGAATAAAAATAAGGAGTAGCTTCAGCTCAGGAGGGGTATACAAAGTTGTGAATAGCAGGGAAGAGGCATTCAGAAGAAAGATTAGGCAACCAGTTAAAAAAAAGGTTAAAGTTTTTACACAATGCGTGATTGGGATGTGGCACCTACTGCCATGATGTATGAAGAGGACCAAAGTGATTTTAGAAAAGTGTGGATAAATTAATCAGGGAAGAATCCATTGAGGAGTATTGAACAGGCAGATGCAGGCAGGAACTTGAGGGGTGAAATCCCAGGGGCAAGCAGTGGCAGAAGACACTGGCCGGGGTGGGAGGAAGCACATGGGAGGAAGCATCGCTGTAATCTTGCCGTTTTCTCCTTGCCATGAGCCAGAGCTGTGGACCATAGTCAGACACAGGATGCTGGAGAACCAGAGACCTTTGGCCTCTCCCAGCACTGATGTTCTGAGGTTCTTTCTGTTGTTCCCCCACTTTCTCACTGCTAGAATAACAAGCACAGTGGGAATGTTACAAAGAAACCCACAGTTTATGGGCTAGTAAAGCAGCAGGTGGGATTCACCTCTGAACTGTGTCCTGGATTAACTGTTTTCCCCTGTGAGTTATTAGCCGAGCTGCTCAAAGGTGCTGAAACAAAAGTCTAAGTTTCTGGCTTCTCTCTGCATGGGACGAGTTGTTTTCAGATAACGGGGCTGGAAGGGGGGAGTGATACGTGCAAGCTTTACGCTTGTCTGTCGGAGAGCTGTACGCCCGCGCTCAGGCTTTGGTGTGATGCCCAGCGGAGGCAGGGAAAAGGACTGCGGCGGTGTCCCTCGGCTGGGGCCAAACGAAGCATCGTGTTTGCCCGCCGTCACACATATAACTTATTAAAAGTTCATCGGAGTGCTTTAAAAATAAGGTCAGAGCCATGAAACGTGGGGATTTCGGTAGCGGGAGGGGCAGTTCCGAGGCAGCCGTCAGGAGCGGGGAAGCACTAGAGGGCTCCCCGGCACCGCGCCGGCGCCGCCT